GAGATCTGGCCAACCGTGCCCGCCTGTGGGTCGATGACAAAGTGTTCTGGACGACGGGGGAGGGGCGAAGGCTGTACAACATCCTCCACGAATCGCGAGAGTACTTTATCGCCATTGCCAGCGGAATGCAAACGCCCCCCGTGCCCAGGAGTGTCGTCATGCCGAAAATTCCCGAAATCATCGACGACCCTCACAAGGATTGTGGATCCCGCACAACTGCAGCAGGCGATCGCCCGCGCGACGGCAGCGGAGAATATCGCTCTGCGCGTCTTATATGGATGGGTCTTCAAGTCCGAGAACCGCCCCCGAGGATTCAATGCCGCTTTCCAGTACGCGTTGGAGTCGATGGCGACGAACATTGCGCGCGTCATGTGGAACGGCGAGGAGTGGAGTAACGTCGTTAGCGCGCCCATTTGCGCGCACACAATCGACCTGAATATGGACTTGCCATTGTGGTTTGCGGGCACGAACATCAAAGATAGGCCGGAGGACGATGACATGGCGGCACACCAGGAGTCTACCGTCGTATGCATCACGCATGCGTTTCGCGCCGCGGTGCAAATGGGTGGCATCGTCGACGACAGTTTCATCTCGCACGAGCGTCTGTGTAGAATTGCGGATTGCTTCAGGTTGTTGTTGGCTGCTTGCATGTGGTTGATGCGCGTGGTGGGAGACGATGTGCGCGGCCACTACGAAGCCTTTTACTTCGCAAAGCTGGTGGCGAAGCCCATGCTCGTCGCGTCCATGCATCGCGTTTTCGATCATCGGCGGTCCATCATCCGAGCCACGAACGCCGTCACGGAGAGACTGGGGAAGGTGAACGCAACACTCGGAGAGTACCCGAAGTCCATCCTCGAAAGGGCTTCCTGCGGCATCGTCTTTGGGCAAGATGCGAGCATAACGGGGCCAGAGGATGCGAAGAGGAGGGATTGGTTGGGTTCCGGCCCCTTGGAGGACGGCGACGACGACGATGGAAAAGAGGACGCGTAGGGGGGCGGTCGGGAGGGAGAGGGTGTCGCCTGTGCTTACACGTGCAGCGCGAAAGAGGGTGCGCGAACGGGGCTCTTTTTCCGGCAAGGGTAAGGGAAGCGGAGAGGGGGCAGGCCGAGACCGCGTCGAAGACGAAGTTCTGGTGGTGCCACGTAACGATGACGGATTGTTGATGGCCTCCTCCTTCGTTCAGCATGTGTGCACCGTCTCGCTCGTACATGCAGGCGCTCGACTTTTTCGGTCGTGCACTTCGGTTGGGTGCGTGATGCAACTGCGCTCGTGGTTGCTTGTGGACGTCGATGTTGTTTTGCTGCCAATGGTGGAGAAGCGATGGTGGTCGGGGTTCTTTTCGGTAGATTGTAGGTGTTGTGTACCTTTGTTCGATGTTCTGTTGTGTTGTTGTCGGCGCAGCTTGTGGCGAGACAAGTTGATTGCGCTAGGTGCACACCTCTTTTTTGTTTGTATTATTTCAATACAGAACGATATTTCTTCAGTTTCAAGATCTACACTCGCTTTGTTTGGTTACTATTTCGTTTTCGCATTGTTTCAATTCAAATGGAGAGTTCGTCAGTTTTAAGATCAACAAGTTGTGTGTTTCTTGGATGTAGATTCAGACGTCTCTTCTCCGTTTGCATGTGCCATCGTCGCTCATTGCTTTGTTTGTTTTGTATTTCTTATTTTCCTCCCCCTCTTACTCCACTTGACGAACAAAACATGTGTTCGTGTCCTAGTCCACTACTCGCATGAAGACGAAGCGCAGCGCATCAAACTATATGAAATGTCCCAGAAAACATGGTGTGAATATGCAATGGTACACATCATGAACACAAAGAAATAGCAACACACAATATAGACACAATGAGATACACACACACACATACACACCGCCAACACGCAATGGAAATGGACGATACATACTTAGAAACGGATTTGCGATGTCGTTAAACAATTCATAGTTAAGAGTTCAAAATTGAAGGGAGGTGGGGTAGAAGTTTCACGCCCACCCGAATGGCGAACACTACTCTATCCTTCGTGGCGAAAAATTGCCGCACTTCACACGCGCAGTGCGCTGAG